CCCACTGAATTGCTGATCATCGCACACAATATCTTCAATTGCCTTACTTTTCACGTCTGTAGGGTCGGGGGTCTCTCTCTAATCTTTCACTATTTAGATTGTTAAAGAAGTACTTGTTCTCTGAGAATAAGCTTTCGGGGCAACTATCCCTTAACACATTGGTGACGAATTGAGCTGTACACGGTAAATGTACCTTAAGAATTCCCAAAAAGGAGTGCCAAACAGGTGGAACAAGTTTTTGATCTAAATGTCATGAATAATGAAATGGACCAGATTGGTGCATATGTATAGAATCAAATATATTTTTTCTTTGGGGGCGGTGGGAAAGAAGGTGAATGTTTATTTAAATCCTGCACATGTTAGGATGCTTGTTTTTATTGAATGAGTTGTTCCTATACACCCTGAAGAGGACAGATTCTTTAGCAGAGAGTGCGTTCCATTGGCCCAGCACACAATACCCTTTGTCTAACCTTTTAAAAAAGGCATTTACTAATGTCATGGTATATCAAGTGTATTTTATTTCCTCTTTATTTCTAGCTTTAAAGGCAGTGTTACTTCCAGTGGGATATGATACAGAATTGTTAAAGAAGCATAACTTTTCCCCACATATAGAATGCCGAACATGCAGCTGTCATCTGAAAGTAGCCAAAACTGGCATGATTCAGCATGTCTATTCATGGAATAGGTAAACAAATAGCACAATATTTTGCACACTTTATTATTTAACTGCTTCATAACCATGTGCATTAAGTGTGCCACAGTGTATTAGGCTTAATCTGAACATGCGTTTGTTTTGCATTGGGGAGATGCACCCATTCTGCTCTGCTGTGGGTGCTCAGACTGAGACTGAGACATTCCTCAGTACTACCTGAATGCAATATGGCAAATATTCATCACAAAAAGTATTTATCGAACATAAAAGTCTCCAAAAATAACCACTTATTTTCTTTTCTGCTCTGCCAGTGTAGCTGGATCTCAAATGCTGTGTTGCATTAGAAAGTGTGGGCTTAACAGGAGGTACAGTAGTTTTGTTAAGTAGTCATTAAAGTTGCTTTTAAGACATTAAACTTTGATTTGCTCCTCATGATTAAGAAACCTTAGAAAACCTCCTTCATATCTAACACTTCCTTTCGGGCCTGTGTCAAGCCCCTCACTGAAGGACCAAGGGTTCTGTGCAATACGTAGAGACAACATAAATATGATACCACTTCGCTTTATATGAATTGAGAACTACTCAAAATGGTCTTCAGCTTTTCCAGGTTCCCTTCTTAAGCCCATACTCTCTGAAGTGCAGCACTATTAAAAAAAATAGTATATGAAATAACCCACAAACATAAGCTATTTGGAATATTACTGCTTACATGCTTTCTGTCCTCTGCTGTGATCCCTGTACCATATTTAACTCTTAATAAATAAAATGTTATAAATTTTGTCGTGTTTGTTTTTTATTTATGAGGGGATTTTGTTGACTGGGGGTATGAAATGAGGAAATGTCTGTTTCATTTGTCCTGTTAAAGTTTAGTGATGGTGTAATTTAATGGGAAAAAGTGAAGTTGGCTCTAAAAGTAGCTGCAACACGGCGCCTCTTGTGACACAACACGGCTGTTATGGTTGCTCAACAGATACTTAAGGTTTATGGGCCTATTTTAGCAGTTCACAGTCCACTTCATTACAGATTCCCTTTCCACTCACTGGTCATGCAGATGTTTTGTTGACATGAAAAGAAGTTAACACATCGTCTACAGAGAACATACATGTGCATGTTTTAATGAAGTCACTGCATATTTGTTGAATGCACTATGTTGGGAAAAATACTAAAAAATGTTGCCTCTGCAAATGTTATATGTTATTTTTTTCCAATATTGGCAAATAAATAGCGATTGTGCACTAAAATTAGCTTAAAATTTTAAAGGCAAATTCCACTGATATTGCAAAAAACAAAATTGCATAATTCAACTGTTGTGGTGTAAATAAAGCTAGAGTGGTTTGATGTGAAATGGTTCAGTGTAGAAAAACTTAAATATAGCCTTTTTATTTACCATCCAAAATCACCAGTGAACCTACACGTGTGTGTGTGTGTGTGTGTGTGTGTGTGTGTATATATATATATATATATATATATATATATATATAAAATAGTGTAGCACTACACATCAAACTACACTGAATGATGTAACATCTTAAAGACTTATGACTTCAGACTTGCTATTCAGAACATTTTAAAATTCAGTTAAATTCCTCTTCCGTGTAAAGCCCATATGTCAAACAGAAGGCACAATCTATCCAGCCCGCAAAGTTATTTAAAATTTGCATCTGTTTCACAATTTGCTGCACTACAATCCCCAGCATGCACTGCAATATTATGTGCGTGCCCACCTTCCATCCCACATCAATAATCTATGGGACAGCAGTTACACCACAAATCTACCACATCAGTCATAGCAGCAAACACACTAGCTGCGTTTTAGCTGCAGTTCCACCAACATTAACGCTCAGCTCAGCAGCTCAGAAATTGACCCTAAGAATGAATCAACCTTTGCAGCAATGAAAAGATGCCAGGTGTCTAATTTGAGCAAACAGGTAGGATTTAAAGACATACATCCTCCTGGGGACTTTTTAAACTTAAACCTTTGATAATATTTCAAGGTCTACTAGAAGTGCATATATATTTTGCTGTTGACATTTTGGCATACTGAATAAACACTGACGAGTTCAGGTTAGAACAAAACGTCATTATTATAATGTTAACATAGGCATTCTCCGGCCCATAGATTTGCTGAGATTTTTTAATATGGCCCTTTTAGTGGTTGAGTTTGTCCCCGGCTGTAGAGGATGTGTGAACTTATTTTCACTTAGAAAATGAACGAGCAATGTCATTTGACCAGAGGTGTTCAAACTTTTGTATATGACTGTATTATGCGTGTTTTTTCATGCACAGCCGCTCTCTACACCTTTCATCACTTGTCAGTTTCTGACCACAGGACCTCTGTTGAGACTGTTTGAGCACTGGACCAGTCTCTATAGTGACACTGATGTGGTAGTGTGTGGTGCAACGAAATGACGCTGAATTTCAGTTTCACCTCATTTATTAGCAACATGCTGTGTTTAAAACTGATCAGCACTGGTTGGTATGTATGTAGGTCACGTTTAAGGTAAAGGCCTTCATGGTAATTAAGAGAACTGAAGTGTCAGTGTGGAGATCCTCCTAAAACATGACAGTATTTTCACTGAGAATAATAAAAAAGCAATAAAACAGTGATTGCAAGCTCTTACAGTTTTACTGATCATTTTATGGCTGTTCAGTTTTGACCTGTTTTTAAAGTGCATTTCCTACACCTTTGTCCCTAAAACATTTCTCTATGGCATTTTCTCTGTCCTGTTCTGAAGAGTTCTTATGTGCCTGTAAGTAAGTGGCTAAATTAATATCTTAATTAAAGTAGTCATGGTTATTAGATGGCTGAGAATCTTTTGCAGTCAATGACTAAGTTTGTGACAGACACCATCAGACTCTGTCATGTTTATTTCATGCTTGGTTCTGGAGTATTTCACTTCAGCCTGTGTCATCAGTAAGTACCTGATCTGATCAGTCAGGTTCACTACACTTTTCGGCCCTGAAAGGCGGTAGTTGTTTTAGTAGTGAGTTTTGACTCATTGTCTATTTATATTCACTTAATTTTGGTGCTTTTGGTTGGATCTGAGCCACAATGATTCTATTCACTTCAGTATTCATTGTGCTGCTGCTGCCGTATACAGTCACATTATCATTATAAAGACGTGTGCTGGTTACGTCAGCATGTTCCACAATAAGGTGGTTTGTTTTACATCATGATCAGATCCGTTTTTACTGCTCCACAGTTTCCTCTTCCCATCTGTCTGAACACCACAGGCTTTTTGGTACTTTTTAGCAAACGGTACTCTGGACTTTCCTGAGGTTTCTTAGTGGTTTGCTTCTTGTGGTAAACCCAGGTCACGCTACTGCATTCTCCTCTATACGGCAGTCTTTAACAAATCTACACCTACATAACTGCAAAACTGATAGTGAAACACGTTTCTTTCATACATGAAAATGACAGACACCCTGAATGTATTCTAAATGTACAATGAGTTTTTTGGGAACAGATCAAATGCAGATAGAACCTTTTAATCCTAAGAACCCACTTTCTGCTTGGAATTATAAGGTTCTATCTGGCGAAGCAACGATTTTCAAGGAACATAAACAGTTTATACTCGTAATTTGTTTAAAAACATAAAATTGATGTTCTAACAGTGTCTACATGTATCAGAATGTTAAATTTAATAATCTATGACATTTTTATTAGATTTATTTTCATTGCTAATTTTTTTCTGGCATTTATTTCTTGTTTTAGGTCAAAGCATCGTTTTCTTATTCAAAAAAGCTTTGCAGATTAAGTATAAAGGTCAGTGCAGTGCAGCAGGTCAGTCTAAAGGCCGTATGAGGTTTAGTTTTATACCAGAAATGTGACTCTAATGAGCCAAAATGTCTCATAATGGGAGAACGAAGAAAAAGAAAAGATGTATGAATGAATGAATCAGTGTTTATGTTGTAATTAAGAGCCCATCAATTCAAATGTTATATTTAATTACCTTTAAGGCTTAATATTTATAAAGTTTAAGACAATAAGACTTAAGAAAGACAAGAAGACAGACAGAGTTTCAGCAACGTTTTCATGTTTCATAAGGTTTTATAAACTTTATCCACAGTCGCTGAGCAGAGCGGTGACATGACAAAGAAGCAGAACCTGATTGGTCCTCTTGAGAGATAGAACCTTTTTTCTAAATAAAGAGTCCAAAAATGCACACAACTTAAAAAACACCTCACTGTTAAGGATCTGTCACAGAATAAGAACATGTGAATAGCTCAATTATAATAAAATATAATAGTGGAAGTAAAGCCAAAAATATTCTTGAGTGAACATAAAAATGCATCAACATTTAAATACACTCAAGTATATAAAAGGAAATGCAATCATACTTCTGCACGTGTTAATGCACAGTTACTGTTTAATGACAATGAAATATCAGGAACAAATAAGACAAAACGTGACATATAACAAGTATCAAATAAATAGAAATTGTGCTCTAAAATGTGCATAAATATCCCATATTTAAGTGTGTTCTCTGTAGATGATATGTTGATGGGGGTGTTCAAACTTTTGCACACAATTATTCAATTTTAATAATTATGTAAACTCAAGTAAAGTACAAATCTTCCAAACTAACACTTTAATAACAAAATAAATTACTTAAATATTTATCACCCTGTTCTTCATCATGTTTCGTAGTTCGGCTGTCTTTTGTTCATTTATTCTTATTTGTCAACCTGTTGTCATCGCCACTTTTGCTGAAAGGCAACAGCTCCAGATTCAGATGCCATCAACGTTTTGCACTTAAACTAATGATGCAGTGACACAAAGCTGATAAAGAAACGGTTGAGAAGTCACTTGTCCTTTAAATGCACTGAAAAGGGAAATAACCTCATAGTTATTGTTTCATTTCAAATCCAACTGGAGTACAGAGACACAGCAACTGTCCAACTCTTCATCTGCAGAACAATATCTTCTTCATTATTCTCCAAAAGAGATCACATAGGGGACATTTCTTGACATAACACTAGATGTATTAATAAAGGTTACATCATAAAGGTTCACCAAGTGGCCTTTGAATCCAACAATTAATACTTTTTAATCATTTCTAAGAGATATGATTTTATGCTTATGTTCTATTTTACAACAGTGAGGTAATTTCCTCCTTATCAGCTGCTTCATGCTTTTATTAAATGGGTTTGATAAATGTGCTCATTAGTAGATCAGCAAGTCTTGGCAGACGTGCATGATAACTGTGGAGACACTGAAGATAAACTAAGTGCATCTGAGCACTAAAGCCAACTGACAGCAATAGAGATGTTATGATTATAATGATCCAGTTTTATTCCACCATGCTCCATTTTGGGATGCAACATTTAGAGCTATGATTTATTGGTAATAACATTCATTTGGCTATATTTATGTTGACAATATAAAGTTGAGGACAAAAGTTTACAAACTCCACACATTTCACGTTGCCATACGTTGCCATGAGACAATTAGAGCATCTACTTTGTTCACATCAGAGGTCATTTTAAAACAATTAATTACAGATTATTTCAGCTTTAATTCAATATATCAGATTTCTAGTGAGTCAAAAAGTTTACATACACCAAGTGGACTGTCTCTTTAAACAGTCTGGAAGATTTAATAAATTGATGTAATGACCTTTAGAGGCTTCTGATTAGCCAGTTGTTGTAATAAAGAGTTAATCAGAAGTGCAACTGTGGCTGTATTAAAGGGCCTAACTTGAAACTTTGCTGTTTTGTCCTCAATATCATAAAAAAATCCAAGCAATTCAGCCAAGACCTCCAGAAAAATGTGGACCTCCACAAGTCTGGGTCCTCCTTAGAAACAACTTCCTAACATGGGAAGGTACCACTAGCATCTGTACAAACAACTGCAAATACAAAAATCTTGGGACCACAATGCATGCTGTGGAAAATGCATGTTAAGAAAAAAATATGGCATCATGAGGAAACAGGATTATCTACAATACTTAAGCAAGACCTCAAAACATCAGCCATAAAGTTAAAACTTAGCCACAGCTGGGCCTTCAAGCAGAACAATGGGCCTCTTTCACCAACCACTCTTAAGAAGTAACTTGCGCAGTTCACATGAAGATTCTGATATTCACCAATGTTTTATTTGGGATTCTTAGGTAAGAAAAAAAAATCTACGCACACTCAAGAGCACTCAAGTGTGAGCAGCTCTGTGATTTAAGAGCATGTCATGAATCTGAAGTAGGACCTTTCTCAAGAACAAATTTGAGAAAAAACTTTGAAAGATATTGGTGAATGAGACCCAATGATCCCAAGTATTCCTCCACAGTTGTGACACAATGGCTTAAAGACAACAATGTGAAAGTATCAGAGTCACAGTCACAAAGCTCTGACCTGAATCCCACAGAAAATTTGTGGACTGAAAAAGCATATCTGAACAAGGAGGTTCGCCAGTTGTGTCATGAGGAATCGGCCAAAATTCTGGCAAAGCAACGTGAGAAGCTTGTGCAAGGCTAACCGAGGCATTTGCTTCAAGGCATTTGCTTCAAGGCAATGACACCAGTTACTAACACTGTGTATGTAAACTTATAACCTGCTGAAAATCTGATATAGCAAATAAAACCAGACATAACTCTGTCTCTTAGCTTTTATTCTGAAATGAATACTTTTGGAAATAATACATACCCTAATTGACTTAACACAGGAAATGTATATAACATGAAATGTGTGAAAAACTGGGTTTGAATATCTTTGGCCTAGGTGCATGTAAACTGAAAGCCTTGACTATAAGATCTGTATAGACATTTATTAGTCTCAGTCTTGTTTACATAAGTCTTAATTCAGAAAACATTTATCAATTATACTGTCTTAAACTTAATGCAGTGCAATAGTCTGTTATTTTACAAATGGATTTCCAAAGCATTCAAAAGCATTTGTTTTGCATTCACATCAACAATTCAACACAGCGCATGAATTATGCTAAATGAAGACAAAGAAAAAATGATAAGAAATACAAATTACAGCACTATCAAAGTCAACAAAATCAGCTGTTTAGAATTAAATTAATCTGCAACTCAAATTTAAGTGCTTGATCTCCTCAAAACCTCCATCAAAGATTCAGAATGAAGAGTTTTGTAGGACAGGCTTTCAGCATCTAGCAGCACTGAAGGACCACTGTGGATGCTCTTGGCTCAGTAGCGAGTGGGGGAGCCTTTCAGGTGGTCCCAGTTATTGTACAGGGCATAGAGTCCTGAAAGCACCAAGCCGACAACACCCCCACGAACTGCTCCACGCACACCCCCTACAACACAACACACACAGAAATGCACGGGTGAAGGAACAGCAACAAAGCAGACTACATTTCAAGGCCAAGCTCAAGATCAAGCCCAGACAGGTGATCATTTCTTTTATGCACACGAGACGTGGCTGCTGGCTTCAAAGAGTAAACAGAGCCGGGATTTGGGAACACACACAAAAGATTATTAGTGCCACGACCAGTCTAATTAGTGTAGAGTCAGAGTAGTTGGTCAAAAAAAACGCAGCCACAACATGAACTCAAATATCTTCAGCCAATCCAAACGGCTGCCAAATTGCTGAGAAGTTAGTCCAGGTTAAGTTTCAGAACAATGTTTCTGACTGTATGGTGGGCAAAACATGAACAAAGTGTGTCAAAGTTGTCAGTGGGCAGCCATGGTCACTACTAAAACAACTCACTGACCCAAAAACTCCCCGAAACACTGGAGATGGAACAGACCTAGGTCTAACAGAGACAAAACCCTGCATTCAGGTCAGTAGAGGGGGATAAGGACTGATAGAGTTCTCATGTAACGGAGCATGTCCTCCACACCCATCACCAGGGGATCCCTGATAAGTGCGGGATGAGCTAAGCGCTACGTAATAGCTTAGTCAGAGCCTGCACTTATTCTTCTCGCTGCGCTGTGCCCACACCCATCGCTCTCAGAGCAGCACACTGCCCACAGTCATGGAAACATCAGTAAAGTCATTCAGACCTGGACCAGATTAACAAAACACAGCCCTGCAGATTTGTTTTAGGTTCTCTGTTTTGAGGTGTAACTCACTATGTGTCAGTTGCTCTGATGTACAGTATCTTATTTTGCATTAAAAATAAATGGTTGCTAAATATCCTTGCATGTTTAGTACTGCAGAACTGCATGGTATAACCTATTATAACCTAAATTATTTTTTGGATTCCTGTTTTGATGAGACAAAATGCCTCACAATTTGTTCTGTGATCAGTATAAAGCAATAAACTTTTGCATAATTATGCTTCGGATGAATATCTAACTATACTCACTTGATTTATTTATTTATTATTTTTTGTTGATTATCATTTCCATATATTTATTCATAATGAAGTCAGAATTTTCTGTTTTGTTAGATAGGGCTCTAAATTTTTCTTATATTTTTTCTCTTACTTAGAGGTCAATTTACAACATTTATTAGGCTTCATGCACCAAAAACATTTCATTTTTTCATTTCATTTTTCACTTTATTACATTTTTATGAACAATGTACATCCTCTCTTTATCCTTTAGAATTAAACAGGCTGTTTTTGTTACTGCACCTTTAAAACTGATATATGTAAACAGACTCTGTTCTGATTGGCTGCCGTATATTGTGCCTAATTCAAAAACCAGCCTGGGCTGAAATAACTTCAGTGTGAATGGGTGGAGCCGTAGGCTCAATAGTCAAGTATATGTAAATAGACTGATTTCTGTGACGTCACAAAAACAGTGAATGGGCTGTTTTGCAGCTTAGTTTCAATATGTGGACTTCATGGACTCGGCAGAAAGGGTACGCTTTGAAACTTTAGCATGTCTATGTACTACACTGAACTGTTCTTTTCAAAACAGTGAGGAAAATTAGTTTTTCCAAGATATGGGCCCTTTAAAATCAGTAGTCCTGTGTGACTTAAAGACAACTTTTAATACGATAAATGAAAGATAAAAACTTAATATGGACTCTGAGCCATGATTTGACATGGGCTATGGACTGTGGGTTATTCAGCAGAAAAAAAGGACTGTGCAAAATGTACACACACTAGAAAAAGCTGTAAAGATGTACAGGATCTACAAATTTGTGACTTTAACATCAGTTTAAGTCATTAAGCCGTTAAACACCAAACTGCATCCTGGCTACAGGTTATAATTTCCATGTATTTCCTTTGACTCTTGTCAGTGATAGACAGAAACTTTATTAATCCAACAAGGAGTTGCATGATTACAGTAGCAACAAAAAAAGACTGTGCAAAACATACATATTGTTGCTGTAGGAACAAAACATTTCATCTTTATTTTTTTTTCAAATTCTTTACAAATACCAGCTGTTGTTTACATTGTGTCAAAATTTCAGGATGAGCAGACTAAGATTGTCAAAACTCTTGTTTCATTAACTTACACTGAAAGTTATTAATATTTTTTCCTACTCTTGCAAAGTTACCTTTTTGGAGATACAAGATTTTGTTTGGACAGCACACACACACACACATACATATATATATATATATATATATATATATATATATATATATATATATATATATATATATAATACACACACACACACACACACACACACACACACACACACGTGCTGTTGTTGGAAGAAAACCTTGTATCTCCGAAATGATAACTTTATAGGAGAAGAAAAAAAACCTACTTTACTTTTAATGTAAGTTAAAGGAACCAAACTTTTTTCCAAGTCATTTTGGGACATTTCTTTTGGTCCATTCATCATGTAATTTACACAAAATGTAAAGAGAAACAGGCATTTTGAAATTGTGTCAAAAACTGGAAAACAACAAAAATGGAGATAAAAGTTTTCTTCAGACAACAACGATATATATATTTAGAGAGAGGAAGAGAAAGAGCTAAGGGCCCCACAGACTAGTTAGGGAACCGCTGTATTAGGTAAACTGATTAAAAAAAAGGTACAACAGCCTTGATAAGCTACCTTTTCCCAAGCAAACTTATCTCTCAATCCTATGACAAAATCTTTCAGTTTTCTCTATGACCCTGCATCCCCGCACGTCCACATATTCAGTTTCTGTTTACTCAGCTGTCCCTTGATGTGAAAAACAACAAAAAAAGAACACATTTTTCAGAACAAGAGACTTTGTACTGGATGGAGACGCTTGTAAAACAAAACGCAAAAAGGCTTATAGCTTTACGACCGTATATGCACAATAAAATCAAGCAAAACTTCCTCTGTGTCCGGAAAAACAAAACGGTTTGACGCCTTTGAGGGTGACATGTGAACCTGAAGTATCGCTCTAAGCTATCAGTGAACTCGTGATTAGAACGAGCAGGTTTGTTGGGGCCAAAGCCAAATCAGCTGGGTGGAAGGGAGAAGACGAGATGGGGGCTGGGAGCTGCTGTCACGACCGCCTTATCTGAATTTGAACTTTAGCCTACTCCTTTCAGCTGACTGGCAAAAAACTTCACAGGCCTCACCTCCACCTCCCGTGTGCACCACAACACACACACACACACACACACACACACACACACACACACAAGCATGCACGCTCATGCTTTCTAGTAACGGCCCCTTCTGAAAACTGCACCACAGTGCATGCTGGGCCATTCCAGGGCTTGTTGATCAGGTGTCTGCTGTGATTTGTAAAAAACACACTTAGAAAACTGCCAGCAGACCCATAAATCACCTAGTTTGTTGCTGGCTGTTGGACTGTAAAAAGGGATTTTGATGCCTCAGACTAAAGTCTACTAACAGTCTACTAAAGGGCACAGTCTATTCCTCAGGATACAGAGAGGGGAAAGTATTGAGACGTGTTTTGCAGCTTTTTCCAGCTTTAATTTAAGGGGTTAAACAAAAACATTGCATTAACCGTTTAGGAATTACAGTCATTTTTTGGACCTGACTGTACTTAAGAAAAACAAATCAAGTTCTACACATTAATGCTGCAAAAACTGAAATAAAAACTGCTCTTGTGCAAATTGCACTTGGTGTCATTATAAAAGATGTTGTCATTGGTCAGGAAGACTTCCTGCCAATCATGGTGAAGGCTGAATGACATTTCCATTGCATTTATGCCATTTGGCAGACGCTCTTATTCAGAGCGACTTACAATTTGATCATTTTTACAGAGGTAGGCGAAGGCAGTGTTAGGAGTCTTGCCCAAGGACTCTTATTGGTATAGTGTAGGTGTAGGTAGTGCTTATCCAGGTGGGGATTGAACCCCAGTCTACAGCATAGAAGGCAGAGGTGTTACCCACTACACTATACCAACCTTGAGCTTCCTAAAGTTCTCAAGGACGACACTATTAAACAATTTTATTATTATTATTATTATACACTCTACTCTGGAAAAAGCTACAGAGCCAAAGCACACATCCCCACCAATACAACTGGTTCGATAATTTGCAAGTGTAAAGTTCACTGAATCGTCCCCGGACAAATGTGCCACGCAAGATTTCTCTCAGATTACTGATAAGGATGGTAAGAGAGACGGTAAGAAGTCACTAGAACAAAGCCACAAGAACAGCCATTACCCAGAGAATAGTAAGCCATGAACTGCACTGCAATCATCTCAGCTCCCACAACCCACGCAAAACTTCTGCCAAAAAAAGAAGCAGTGATTTGTATCTAAAATTTACTCAAACACACATTTAGACAATTCAGAACTGTTTTAGAACAATGTAAACAGAATTCTTTGCCAACTCGTCATGTTTGGAGTAAGAAGTGTTGTGTGTATAATCCCATGAACACTGGGTCATTACATGACACTGAAGGCAACATGAATGGAGTGATACTGGGACATAGAGGAGAATTTAAGGAGACAAAATCAAACCACAATGCTGCAAAAAGGTAATTACTTCTTAATGTACATGTTTCAAAGCTGTAACTGTCAACAACATCTTTGCTACTAACTAATGCTACTATTTGTGGTGTCTGAATACTGTTTTCCTGCCAATGTTTGTTTGAACCTCTCTTTGTTTCTAGGTATAAATACACACTTTTTGCTGATCTTCATACATCCAAAATTAAAAGATATCATGTGTGTGAATATGAAGTGAATACATACACTGGAAGTATCTTAAACAGTAAGTGTCTGAATACTTGTTTCCCCATCACTGTACTTCCCAAAACAATGGAGTCACATGTGAGCACGTGTATTTTTTGTGTTTTTGGCTTACAGTTCCTTTCCCCAGTTGCTTACAGGCATTCAACTGACCTAGAGTCCATTTCCCAAAGCTCACACAACCCACAAGTATTCCATACACAAACTCAATCTGAACTGTTGAGCAGCTTACTGAAAAAAACCTGTTTGTGCAGGGAATTTACAGTGTGTTCTAGCTGCATGTCTGGCCGTTGCCAGCATCTTAAAGAGACCCGTCTGAATTCAATAAACTGGAATTCTTTTCTTGCTGATTAGCCAGCAAAATTCTAGTTTCATTTCCATCTTTTTTGAGTTCCACAAGACTGTCTGGGTCACTGACTGGTGTGATTCTGAATCACTTCTGGAGGAAGGCCTGACTGACAGTAGTGCTCATTCTGATTAGCCTAAAAATTTTTAAGTTTGTACAGTGGCCATCAAAATTTCGAGCACTTAACTTTTCATAATCTTTTGATACTGCATAGCATGAATCTTCTTTGTCAGATTGCGATAACATAAAAAAGACTAACCAATTTTTTGTTTTTATATCTGATATTTTAGGGTTTTTTTGAGATATTTATATATTTGTTTACCTTAGAAACAATGTCAAACCTCCCACACTTTATCATCTCGTTGTGATGTCAGCACTTACCAGCACTCAGAGTTTTCAGCTGTTTAAACCACTTCTGCTTCAAAAGAGTTTCAATTACAGATGCACGATAATACTGTAACCATTTTGGTTTCAGCAGATAACGGCTTAAAAAAAATGGCATCAGATGTTTAGATTTGAGCGCTATTTCAAACCAATTGTCAATATTTGACACTGTATTTATTGTACTCCAGGCGAGAAGAACATATAGTCGACTACAGTAAGACTCACTGCTTACAGTCATATGCAAGAGTTGAAGACCCCCTGGTGAAGTGAAAATAAGTTAACACATCCTCTACAGAGAACACACTCCTGCACATTTTAACACACAGTTACTGTCTATTTGCTGAATTTAACATACTGGGGAAAAAAATAACATAAAATGTGGCCTGAGCAAAAGTAATGGCACAGTTATACTTTATGTTTTTCCAAAATGCTGAACTCAGTAAAAGCAAAGAAATTGTGCCCTAAAAGTTGCAGAAAATGTATTTCAGTTTGTTCCCTGTAGAGGATGTGTTAACTTGGTTTCACTTCAAAAATCAACAAAACATATCATCTGACTGGGAGTGTTCAAACTTTTGCACTGAATGACAGTCAGTAGCATAAGTACTGAATTTCGATACCCGGCTGAGCATTGCAAAATACAGTCTAAGAACTAATTTAGTTCATTGCTGTTTTATAGTAAAAAGCCCAAAATGCAGTTATTTTTATTATTTTTATAAAATTAAAAGTGAAAAGTCAAACATTACAAAGAAGTGAAACTTCTTCCACGGGCGGTGCATGTGAAACATGGTTCCTTTTCTCGGAAATGGGCGAGGCTAATTTCAGTTCATTGGTGCAGCATGTCGAGGAACTACTATGACCTGGAAATTGGCATCTGCGAAAAAACCTGATGAAAAACTCTTCAAACACAAAGTGCCTCAGGGTTCAGTGGATCATGGGATAGAACACTGTTTTCTGTTTCCCCTCCTTATCGGTATTAATTGTGCTTCCTTTCCTATCCCACTGCAGCACATCTCCAGGAAGGAAATCATTTCTATTCTAAAAGCAGCCCGGTTTGCAAACACTCCCCTTTGTTTTCTTACCTGGGGATTTATAAAGCATTCCAGTCATCGTCCCAGCAGCCACAGTGTTGAGGTCATCTTCCGCTCCTCTGGCCTTCTCTACGACCACACCGAAGACACTGTACAATAGAGCTGCCCGCATACACACACACACACACACACACAAATAATCTAATGGCAGTTTCAGTCAGACAAAGGGCTATTTAGCAATTCAGCACAAAACTCAAATGACCTGTGTAGTCTGATCTTACAATTCATGTGATTAGGCGCTCTGAGGTGGCAGTGCAACTGGCTGCTAATGTGAACAATATCTTTCACATGTGCAGAGAGAGAAATTAGGGCACTTACCAAGTGAGCCCAGAGTGTTTGCCCATGTAGCACCCTGACGGGTCACCAGGTTTAGTACTCTGCAGGAGAAAGTAAAGGATATGTCCTTTCACCAGAAGACTTAATCCTTCTGACAGACAGTCTTAGGAGTGAAAAGGTTAGACTGAGTCATGAATGTTACTAATAAGAGTGAAAGCCTGCTTACATCTCTGGTAATGGGAAAGCATGCTTTGTTAGATTATTACATTAAACTTAAAACTTAAGGGGCCCAAATCCTACATTTAACCCTTGTTACTCAGTGGTCTGCTGGACCCATCGCATTACTGTTTTTTTTAAATCAATACAGCCATAACAATTTATGTAAAAATACCAGATGTTTAAAATATCACAAGTGTCCAGTGTACGGTTCTCCTTTAGCAGCTGTAGCCAGTCAGCAGCCAGTCCATGCTGTCCACCTCACACACACACACACACACACACACACACACACCAATACAAACACATACACACAGACACACACTAACAGCAGGCCATGTAGGAGGAGAACAGAGCAAAGGACACAGCACCTCCACACTTTTACTCCCCGCAGGTTCACCCAACACCACATGTGTAATATAAATGTGTGGGGGGGTGAACAGTATGAAGACACTGAAAATGTGTTATTTTATATGTTCTTCCCAGAGAATGAGCAAAGGCCAAGGAATCTGTGGTCAAATATAATAAATCATGTCATTTTTTCTTTTGGTAAACATTGAAAATGGGTCCCACAGACCTGAACACCACACAAGGGTTCATTTTTTTTCCCTGAGGTCCATCTATGTCATTTGTGTGGGTTTATGCACCAAAAAAGTGCAGAAATATGTAAATGTGCTGGTTTTTGTGACATCATAAAAACAATCAATTAAAAACTTTGTTTTTGCACCACAGTTAAAATATATGGACTGAATGGACACGGGAATGAATTGCACATGTTAACAACTTTACAATATTTACATATTATCATACAAACACTTTTATTCCAAAAAAATATATATATACATACACACATACATACATATAATGGGCTGTTTTCCCGGTTTCCCTACATGGATCATATACACTAAGGGGTGAACGGTATGTTTTGAAATTTTAACATTGTTTACATGCTACACAAAGAATCAAGTAAAGTTAGGATTTTTTTTTCATGATTTGGGCCTTTTAAAAATGAGCTAAAGGATACAGCATTACAATATTACTCTAATGTAAGAGGACAAGGGGGCTCTCGTTCAGCATGTCAGCTCTACATAAACAAGTTCATATTTGTCCCTTGCAGTGTTTAAATAACATGTGGAAACAGCGACCCATGTAGTAACATTCCTGAGTCTCTCCTTGACAGGTGGTAGTAAGAAATACTGTTGTACAGTGTGGGGTACACTACATCTGAGAGCATGTATGTCTCTACCACTCTCACGTCCCACAGCCCCTCTGCTGAGAGAGATATAGGTCATACGTGTGAGGCATCACACACAGCCACATAACTGGATTTACACAGTTATGTGCCTTTCCATGGCCTTGACCACCAGCTATACCAGGTCACAGTTCTGTACGCACAGCTGTGTTTGAGCTGCTGGTCAAACAGATGAACAAATTTAGCTAATTTTTTGCCTCATTCCACCACTGTAGATGATAAATAAACTACTTAGAGAAAAGCAAAATCCTGAATTTTGTTTAGAATTTCAATGAAATGTTTATCACTCTATCAGCCCCTGAAATCTGAGGTTAGCTCTCGCTAAGCCAGAACATATTCCACAAGCTTGCTTGAGCAATTTCTTCAAGCCTGAAATGAGCTAAAGTTGGACCACAAATCTGGTTACATATGCACTGCACCAACAGAAAGCTGCTGTATTATTAACTTAACGTTATGTAAGGAATGCTTTTATAACAAAGACACAAGGATAACTGATATTTTTAATTTTCTACCCCTTTAAAATGTGGCCTGTTAGGTTTGAAGTCTTTTATGGATGTCACTGTCACTAACTGAAACAGCAGTCCTATATCTATAAGTTATAAACTGGTGTAATTTTATGTAAAAACAATGAGTAAGAGTAGCTGGATATCAGAGCTGCATATTGAGCTCCCCGTGGCCACATACAGAGTTCCGTGTTGCCTGTCAGCCTGTCTGTACAGCAGCCGCTCTCTGGCGTCACGGAAGAGGAACATGCCACCTACGCTGTGCGAATGAGTCATCTGATTATGCCCCTAAGAGGCGGAAGCAACATTTAAGGAACCCAAGCAGCCAAACCAGAAAATCAATCCATAGTAAACACTGCCCTCTAATGGCTGAATATCATAATGTTGTACACTGGAGGAAAATGCAAAGGAATTGCATGGAGATCATACTAAAATAACAAAATACCACACTAAATGATCTGTTTTACATCCCTGACTTCATTAATCAATTGTTTGCTGAGTGAAAGCACCGCTTAGACATCAATAGTGATACAACTAGAATCAAAAGCCAGGATAAGATATGAATAGATGGGAAGTGAAAAGGCAAAGTAAATCTCACTCAAAGTAACGATAAGTCTAACTGACCGGTCAATGAGTGTAACGTTAAGTGGATTTTCTAGTATATATATATATATATATATATATATATATATATATATATATATATATATATATATATATATATACACACACTAGAAAGTCCACTTAACGTTACACACACACACACACACATACACACTAGAATGTAAGAAGTCTGCTTTTTACAGTCTTCATCTGTTTTTCTTTTGCTAGAATTAACAGGTAATAGAAAAGAACTCACTGTACATTACGAGGTTTAGACCAGGCCATATGCTTGGTTTCAGACAGTCCCATTCTAAGTCCATTGATGGCTCCAAACAGAGCACCTAAACATAAAACAGCTCAAATCATATCATAAGATCATAACAGTTTTTCAGTATGTGTGAAAGCAGGAAGGACAGATTAATGGATCAGTTAGCAGTAGATAGTAAAGTAGTAGAGAAGCTGTTATGACAAGAATATATGTATATATCACACAGCTCGTCACAACTCCTTTCTGCTTTATGTGTATTATTAACCCTTTCATATCATTCACCTCTACAGTACTGCCAGTGCCTTAAAGGGGCAAAATGTCTGCATAACTCAGTTGTTGAGGTTTAAACAAATACCTGAGAAGTTTAACTTGTAGAGAAACATACCGACTCAGATTTCTTTAGAGTGGTGGTGACAGGAACCAGGGGTCGATGTCCACAACACAAATATAGCCATTTTATTTATTATCCAAAACCTACACATTATGATTATATTGATGATGGTAAAATAGTGGTAGATTTTCTTTAGGGATTATTTTGTCTTAGATCACCCTTCATGTATCCCTTTACCATGAATAGATTAAAATAAATTGATTAAAAAACCATTTAGGTCAAAACCTTTTCACAAAACTACCATAAAGCAGTGTCTCTGGCAACAGGCTGAGCATTCATAACCATTTCATGTCATAACTTTTTGTGAATAAGCTTTTAGAGATGGACATCTGGTTCCTATCACAACCACTGTGAACAATTCTGACTCAGTAAGTTTCTCTAGAACAGAGCATTTCACACTAAACCACACTGAATGACTTTGTTCACAACTTACCCACTTTTTTACTTTGAATTTTTGAAATCAATGGTGTTCCCCTTTATGCCAGGATTTACACCTTGGGATGTAAAACCACCCAAATGAAATACAGAACTATTATAGACTTTGCAAAAGGGTGGAGGGGATGTACCTGTCATACAGCATGATCCAATTGTGAAGAAAGCCAACTCGAAGCGCCCTCTGGTCTTGTTGGCACCAGTGGGCAAAATGAACTCATCTGCATCCTATAATACACAGGTATACAAGACAAACCAAGACAAACAATGAGCCTTAGTGAGAGGTTTTTCATAGTTCTGCTACCCAGATTTCAGAAAAGTTATCTATTCATCCCCATCATGCCAGGTCTTCTCACAATTTATGAAAAGCTCATGAATCAGCAGGGTTGGGTAATGGAATACAATTCTTCAGAAATACATTTGTATGCAAAAGTTTGGGCACATGACATGCTTTGTTGATCTGTGAAAAGTTAAAGTAAGTTAACACATCTTCTTCACATGTTAATGCACAGTTTGTGTTTGTTGAATTTAACATATTGTGAAAAAAAAACAGTACAAAATGTGGCCTGTGCAAAAGTTATGACATGTTTCCCTATTGCAACCACAACCCCAGTGGGATCAAGTGGGTTGAGAAGATGATGATTATTTTTTTCGAATATTTTAAACTCAGCAAATAAATAGAAATTGTACATTAAAATTAGCAGAAAAAAATCACCGTAGAGGACGTCTTGAATTATTTTCACTTAGAAAATCAACAAAACAGTGCTCAAACCTTTGCATGTGACTGTAGGTATTTGGAATACAGTAATATGTTTTCATTTCCCATTATATTTTGAAAAGGCAGTGCTCAGAATACAGATTTTTACAGCATTAGGAGACAGTGTGTCCACTCACTGTCCACTCTATTAGACACTCCTACCTTGTTGGTCCACCTCGTAGCGGTAAAGTCAGAGACAGTAGCTAATCTGTTGCTGCACAGTTTGTGTTGGTCGTTTAGTTCTTCATCTTTGGTCACAGGACGCTGCCCACAGGACACTGTTGGCTGGACATTGTTGCTTCGTGGACTATTCTTAGTCCAGCAGTGACGCTGAGGTGTTTAAAAACCACTCGTACCAGCTCAACACACACTAACACATGTCAGTGTCACTGCAGTGCTGAGAATGATCCACCACCCAAATAACCCCTGTGGGGGTCCTGACCATTGAAGAACAGGGTAAAAGGGGGCTAACAAAGTATGCAGAGAAACTAGTCTGTAATTGCAGAGCTACAAAGTGCACTATATGGTAGGTGGAACTAATAAAATGGACAATGAGTTAGGATACAAGTTAGGTGTACCTAATAAAGTGCTCAGTGATGTTCCTGTCATTAACTGAAAATCATGTAGCTACCAACTTTGCAGACAAATTTACAATATTTTGCTATATGGACGAGAAACTGTTTTCATAGTGGAACTCAGTAGAACTGTGTTATCTGTAGTGATGACGCTCCATCCAATAGTTTTTTAGAGGCACACTCCATGTTGATTGTCCAACATCAGTACCAGTCCTGACTAGCGCTCTAGTGGTTGAATGCAATCAAATCCTCACAATAATGTTCCAACATCTAGTCTAAAACAGTCCCAGCAAAATAAAAGCTCTTACTGCCTTGTTTCAGATGAAACAGTGGGTGAGCAGGTGTCTACATACATTTGGACGTAATCCCATTTCACCCCTTGCCCCTACCACTTGGTCCTTAGCTCTCTGTTTGCACGTTCACGTCTAGGGTTAGGGTGTCCCAATTTTTGTTTAGATAGAGGGGTAGGGCAAAGTGTTAGGGCTACATGGCCCTCCAAACGGAGATTTTTCAGAGGCACTCCAAACAGAGTGTTATGAGAAAAAAAGAAATACCGGCAAGATGGCTGCACGAGCGACCAAAGAAACCCAAGTAGTGCCAGAATGTAACTGCTGCACCATTTAAGGTGGAACGGGAAAATCTGAACAAGAAGCTGGTGAATAGCTGACTTCAGCTTTGTATCACCTAAGAATTAGCGGTGGGTGATAATAAATAATTGTCTTAAATCCCCTCTTTGAAAGCATATGATGCCCTAAATATAACTAAGGCCCAGCAGTGAGGAGCTGAACTTTTCCCTGCTCTGCTATCACTGAAACGGGCCGGGTCGCCTACAGAGCACTACTAGTAGCTGTTAATGAAGCAAGATTTTTTTGTTTGTTTTTTTATTTGAGGGTTGTCCCATTTCGTAGGGCAAGATTTCAACCACTACCCCTTGTAACTCAGTTACGAAAACAAGGGTAGGTGTAAGAAGAAGAAATGGGATTGGGCCATAGTGTAACACTACAACACCATTTCAGTAAAGTTTAGTGCTTCTGGTCAAGTTATTGTTGCAGAATATCCTGTTTTCTTGGTTCTGAGATACAGCCTTGTTGATTTTTCTGGTACCTTCTTTTCTAATACGCAAGAGTAGTGAGTCATCAGTATCCCTGAACTTTGCTCTGGAATTATCTTTCCTACTTTGATAATAACTTCACTATAAATGGTTTTTAGAATGATTTTTAAATATTTTTACTGCTGTAAGAAATTGTACATGATAGTGAAACAGGCATCATGCTTGGGGTGAGCATTAGCGAATTACTGAAGACCAGCCATTACAATGCTGTAGAGTTCAAAAATCATGCAGACCTGTGTTATGTTAGTGCCAAATAACTTTAGCATTAGGGACCATAAGTCTCACCTGAGTCAGATATCTGGGGTCGACATTTAGGTATGGTGAGAGGGGGCTCATTCCTGTCACTGTTTTAAAAAAACATAAAATATAAATAAGTAATGGGTTATTCAATTACTCATGAATGAACCACAGGTCTATGTAACTGCTACAGTTGCACACGCTTAAAGGAACAGTTGAGCAAAACATCAAATGTACCCAGTTTTCTGTTTGGTGTTCAGTGTTTGCTTCTTTAGCTTGGCACTGGAGCTACATTATAAAACAATGGATGTCAGTGATTCTGCTGTGTGATATAAACTTCAATGAAGCACATTTCAGGCACCAAACATGTCTTGGCTGACTGACTGACTATGCTTAGGGAAAATGGGCAAATTTGACTTTTTGGTGAACTGTTCCTTTAAAGAGAAATTTCATCATTTTTTCAGAATTTCTGCATAATTCAGTCACTGAAATGTAAACAAAGTTATTCTGAGAGGAGTAAAATGGTGCACTGTAGAGAAACTTGCCAACTCAGATTTCTTCGTAATGGTAGATAGGAACCAGGGGTCCAAATATCACTTCCACAATCCAAATGACCAGTGAACCTACATGATTTCTGAGTTGTTAAACGTAATGTTGAGACTTCAGGGTCATTAAACTTTAGCTTTATACGTTTGGTTCCCATCCCCACCACTGTGAACAAATCTAAGTGGGGAAATTTATAATTCTGAATTGGGATTTTTTTTTTTTTTTTAGAATCGAGCATTTCACACTAAACCACTCTGAACAACTTTCTCATATTCTATCCATTAAAGTCGTCTGAAATTTTGAAACATTGGTGGCGTTCCCCTTTAACAGCTATGCTTCACTTCAGTTGCACTGACTTACACGGCACTCCGGCGAGCTCGGAGTTTGAGTAGCCCGGTCCAGTCGACCTGAAGAGGCCCCCAAAGCCGCCTCCTCCTCCGGCCCTGGAGCTGGAGCCCTGGCTGGAAGGCGATCCTCCACGGTCGCTGTCCATCTTCACTTCAAACTCCGCTTGCTTGGTAGCGCTTGTCCTTCACTTAGCTGGACAAATCCTGTCAAAACAGCGAGACAGTATAATCCATTTCGGCGAGTCCAAACTTGGCAGGTAACTCGGGACACGGCAGTATATAAACAGAGCACTGCGTTTACTATCTAACCTACATGCACAGTGCTGCAGGAAACACACACACCTAACGTTAGCTAGTTAGATTAACACTGAAAACAACACAGAAACAGCTCAAACTTGATATTTATTAGAAACGTTCCCAGGTCAGTGTCTTTCACGAGTATTCAACCGCTAAATTAGCTGACTGTCACAGCTGAAGTCAGCTTCTTGTTCACATGATCCCGTTCCACCTTAAAACCTAAGGTGGAACGGGCAAATTGGAAAAAGAAGCTGGCGAATAGGAAGTTCAACCTCGTATAACTCTTACAGCTGTCGTGTGAAAATGTGTCGCCCAAGCATGACGACGTAAGAACATTAACGGACATATTATATACTGAAGTATACATCACGGAACACAATAAAATCCAATATTTACCTAATAATTCTACAACATTTGCAGCACATGCCGCATCAAACAGTGTTGTTTTGGGAAGAGCCTCGTCAGATCTTCGCGACAGGAAGTGCTGCTTTACGGCCAGACTCCTATCGAGAAGCTACGAACACAGCCAGTGCGTTCAGTCCAATCCTCGCGCTGTGAAATCGGGGGAGAAACACAAAAAATAACGCCTGAAAATTGACAGTCGTGACGACATCGGTTATGATCTGGCGAGAAGAGAGGTGCGGCAGAGCTCAGTCACAGTACATTACAGCGAGGAGGGAGGCAGCAAAAATAGACTTTTTGAGAGGGCAGATGCTCGGTAATGTCTTTAGATTTGAGTGATTTATCTTTGTAACCTGTCCAGAGAAGAGAAGACTTTATAAAAACGAAAGAAACCCAAAAAGCAGCGGCTAACCGACGGTCCACATAGTGAACAGTGACAGCGGGGGGAAAACACGATGCCGGAGCCGCGGTTTTAAACCCGGCCGACTGTTTTCCACTTTATTTCCTGAAATATTTCTATGTGTGGGTATGTTTGGTTGTCTCTCGGTGGTATTAGACCACATATGCCAGTTAGTTAGCTCAGCGAGTTCGCCCTGTTCTTGAGGCGGTTGTGTTAGGAAGCTGAAGTCGGCTTCTCGTTCGAATGTTCCCGTTCCACCTTAAATGGTGCAGCAGTTCCATTCAGGCGCCTCAGGCCAAACCAGAACCACGAACCGTCGCTGCAGCCGTTTAAGGTGGAACGGGAAAATTCGAACAAGAAGCTGGCGAATAGGAAGCTGATTCAGCCGCATGTCGTGTTTATGTTTATGGCTCGGTGAACGCTGTGTCCTCATAAACGGGATCGCATCTGCAATTTGCTTTTCCTTCGTCCACCGTGTTGTTTTGCTTTGGGGGTCTTGGAGGTAGGTGGACTCATCTCGGTTGTTATACGAGACGAGTCCTGTCAAAACGACCTCCTACAGTGAAAGCCCTCTTTTAAAACACCTTCTTATTCAGCTGTGAGTTTGCTGTAGTCAGGGAGGGCTTCTCGTTCGTCAAACCGGGGTCCAGAGAGCTGCATACACGCTTAGATAGTGAGGTTGTCCGTCTGTGTGGGATGTTGAGGGGGAATTTATGGCGGGTCGATTGAATCCAGGCCAGCATGATGTGGTATTCGTGATGATGGTCCCACAAGGTCAGGGGGGGTATGATAGACTACCCGGTTAGCCCTTTACCTCCCTAACGTGGTCTCACGTCGTGTACGTGTGCACAGAATAGCGCTTAAAGCGGTATTTATTAGACGCAGTTTCGCTGGATAGTCTGCTACAGTTGAGCAGCCCCTTTAATCCCTACCCACAATGCACCGAGGCGGTAGCTTCCCTCCGTTGGAGTTGTTGTGTGGCACTGCAATGCTTTGTTGGCTCGTTTTCTTAAAGTGAAATGTTTTTTTTTGGACAACTTGCTTTGCACTCGGAGGGACGAGACGATGGTGAGGCGACAGATGAATATATAGCACAACTTAAACTCCGTGTTTTGGCTTCTGCCCACCGTCACTGCAGATACTAGTCGTGTCGTAGGATCTTAGAATGGCCACGATCAGGAAATGAGCTCTTGCTTTCGATTTAAGACGAAACCAGCATTTACTCAGTTCATATTACCCTTTTAAACCACTAAACGGATTCATAATGATTAAAATATTCATGTTTGACTGTGGTGGTCATAGGGGGCTTTCTGAGTTAGTAGAGGGAGCCTGTCAGACACTGAGGTGACTGGTGACTCTGGGTTGGCTTTCAGTTGGAGCCTATCTGATCATCTTGTCTTCCTATAACCTCTTTTACCTTGTAATATCAATGTACAGTACTCTGCAAAAGTCTTAAGAAGCATTGTTTGTAGCCACCAAATCCCTATATAACATTAGACTAACAATAAATACACATAAATACAAATGAAATGTATCAATAACTTGTTTTCAGTAAGGTTATTGATATCTTATTTAGACAAATACAGCTAGAAGAACACAGGTTTGGTTGTATGGATTTCATAGATACACATCAGCAGCACACCTGAATTAATTTAATGAAGGATTGATTAGATGAAGATGCATTTTCAAGGGTTATTTAGTAAAAGGAGTTGTTCTATAATGGTCTAATAGAACCATTTCATCCTTGAATGGTTCTATGCATGGCGAAATGGTTCTTCACATGAATGGGGAATGTGCTGTAAATGGTTCTATATAGAACCTTTTTGAAAATGTTATCTATAGCACCAACAAAGATTACAAGCTTGACGTCGTAATGATAGAAGAACCCATTTTGGTTCTGTATAGAACCATACACAACATGTTCTCCATCAAGCTGAAGAACCATTTTACCATACAAGCATGAAATGGTTTTAAATCGAACCCCTTTACTAAAGAATTCTTGAAGAACCATCTTGTTTTAAGAGTTGTAGATACTGAATGGTACCCATTAATACTAGGTGTCCTTTGGAAATAGTTAAGCTAACACATTATTATCAAAATGACAGTCTATTGTTTATTTGTGTCTTTATATTTATTAAATGTGTACTGATAAATAGATTTACATATTTTCTTACTGAGATGTTTGCACAGTACTGTATTTTGTCTTTGTAAGTATTTCATAAAGCTGTTTCATGAGAGTCTAGTGTTGTAATGTAGAGGTGGGCAGTATAATGATATTTTATCTTTATCATGATAAATTTTATTATTATTATGCACAATATGCTTTTCTGGGCATATTGTGAACATCATCAGTAACTAAAGAACACTGGCAAACTGCATCATTCATTAAAAAGCGATCATTAATCCAGTTTAATTGAATTTAGGACTGTGCGGTACGTCATTGTTCATGGTTCTTGAAGGCTGTTTTAAATGTAGCACTACTAGTACATGTACATTGTACCTGTGTGGGGAAAAATATCTTAATACGTATCGTGAAAATGTTTTTAAATATTGTGATATGATATTTTTGCCATATCACCCACCCCAATTATCATGGTTAATGGCTCAACCAGCACAAACAGATGATGAACATTATTGAAAATAACTCAGTTTTGTTATTATTTTGGCCTGCCAGGATTAATATATGCTCATTTCTCTCTGCTTTTGCCAGGAGTTACTGAGGTGTGAATCAAGGCTGTGATAACTAAGGAGCCGCAGCACATTTACCTCACGGTTTCTGCCAGAAGACCACTGAAGAGCAGTCCTAATGGAGGACACAGAAACTGAGCGGACTTCATCTGAGCCAGACGCTCTTGGGGCGGACTTCATCACAGTGGAACTTGACACCCAGCCCATTGAGTATGTGGTCAAATGGGCTGAGGTTGGTTCTAAATTCACTATATCCTGCGTGAAGAAGGAATCGGACGAGAACGCTTGCTTTACGCCAGAGCAGCTGGTCAAAACTGAGCCGGACGAGAGGTTCTTTGTTCCGTACGAGGCAGTGTACACGGAATGTGAGGACACGGATCCGAGCATGATCGCCTCACAGGAGGTGGTAAGGAGCGATTCGGACGTGGACCAGCACATGGAGCTGGTGAGCGGAAACCTGGAGGAGGAGGATGACGACGATAATGAGGAGGAGGATGAGGGCTCTGATGGTGACTGGGAGGAAGAGGGCTCTCACTCTAGAGACAGACGTTACAACTGCCACTTCTGTGGCAAGAGCTACAGCCATTCCTCCAGCCTGGCGCGCCACTTGCACATGCACACTGCAGGGGACCATTCTTCCTCTCCTCCTAAAGCAAGGTCGGGGGAAAACCAAAAGTTCCTCCAGTGCAATGTGTGTGGGGTGCGGTGCAATGGCAGACGGCTTCTTGCAATACACAAGAAATGCCACAAAACCAAGAGACTGCACACGTGCAACACATGCGGCAAGACCTTCAATCACAGCTCCAGCCTGTCACGGCACAGGCTGATCCATAAAAGAGGCCTGGACAAGAAGTTGAAGCCACTGTACCCGGCACCCACCCCGGCACCCATAGTGACAGTGACCCAGCGCAGACGGGGCCCCAAGAAAAAGAAGCCGCTGTCGGTGGAGGGCAAGTTTGCGATGGCTGAGCGGGAGAAGCAGTACCAGTGCACGCAGTGCGACATGGTCTTCACCAACTCTACCAGCCTCTCCAAGCACCAAGTATCCCACGTACGGCAGCTGCTCAACTCCTACGCCCAGGGCAACGACGCCCTGGACAAGTCCTCGGACCTGAAGATCCGCCTAAAGCTCTGCTCCCGGGACAAGCCCAACTACTACACGCTCTGCAAGAAGAACAAGCGTGGCAAAGGAGGCCGGAAGAGGCTGCAGCTGCCGCCTGACGACGAGTGCGACGGCCACTTCAGCCACACCGGCAGCTTCAGCCCACACGATCGCACGCATGGCAGTGAGAAGCGCTACGGCTGCAACGCCTGCAAGAAGACATTCGTCCGCCTGTCCAACCTGAAGCAGCACCAGCAGACGCACGCCATGGGCAAACTGTACGAGTGCCAGCACTGCGGCAAGACGTTCGTCCACTCGTCCAGCTTCTCGCGCCACAAGAAGGTCCACGCGGGCCTCAAGCAGGTGCCCAAACAATGCAATCAGAGCCTGATGGTCGATGAGACGGCCCCGTTGGAGTCCGAGTCCGAGTGAGAAGACGGTTTCCAGAACTGTCCTGACACAGCTGTTGGATAGAAGGCCTCTTTGTTTTAGTTGCATTTGTTTTGTTTTTTTTGTTTTTTGTTTTTTTGCTTTTTGCACCAGTTTCTTATTTTGTCAAAGGACAGATAGATTTGGCATTGCTCTCATTGTGAAGTGAGTTTGATGTCATTGGTTTTGTGTTGTCAGCAATAGGCTTTGATGTTGTTGTTGTTGTTATTATTGTTGTTATTTTTATTTTCGCTTGATTTTCTTTGCTTGGGGCATCACTAGAGGATGTGCTGACCGTCTTTTGGCAATGTAAGTAAAAGATTTGTACATTTTTGTTAACATTCCCATTTTTTGGTCACGGTTAGGGATAATTAATTTAATGGCAGGGTAATGATTATTTTTTGTAGTGTTATTTATCTTTACTTTTATTTGTAAACAAAAGAAATTGACATAGGCAGTGCAGGTATTTTTTGGATCCTTGCACCAAATACCCTTGGCACTGAAAACAAAGTGAAGTACTTATTTAAAAAATAAAGGCTGGGGAGAAAAATCCAGGATAAACATAGTAAAAAAGTAGTTTCAATTCAGCCTCCATGTTAGTGGGCAGCTAGCAATGTGTCTGTTTGGCAGTGCTGATCTTTAAAAGAACTGCAGCTATTCGTATAGTGTGGGCTGATGCCTAGCATGTCCTATACAGAGAATATTTAACAATGTGACCATTTATTTATTTCATTTTTTTTTGTTTTGTTTTGTTTTTTTTTAGCAAAGATCCCACCTTTCCCTCCGCCTTTGACTTAAACTAACAATTACAACTAATGACCCTGTATTTCTCACTTTATTATTGTCAAAGGTTTTTATTTATAAAAGGTTATAAAAAAGAACAAACTACACACACACGCACCCCAACACAATGACTTGTAATTGTTGGTTTAAGTTTAAATGTTGGTTAAATGACCTTTTTGGCAAATTCGTTGTGTTTTTTTGAGAATTGGTGTCTTCACTAATTGTGAATAGGTTTGTTTGCTCTGCACACTCCTTTTGGTTTGTTTTTTTTTGTTCGTACTGTTCTTCTGTCATCTGATAATTAAAGAGCAAAAGATTTGAAAGGTTACTTGTCAGTTTGTCAACAAACGAGATCCATAAGCGTTATTACAGCACTGCAAATTGCAGATCGGACATCAATATGTGTGATACTGAATGCGTTGGGGATGGTGACTTCATATTAAATAGCGTGTGTGTGCATGATGAATATACTGAAAGAATATACTCAAAAATATATACATTTTAAATCTACTGTATATGTGTAAAAATGAAAAAAAAATTGAAGTGGGGGAAACGTGTAACTTTGTGTGAATGATTTGTTTGAACTTTGAATAATTTATGGACTAGCCAAGGGATTTCATATTTCAACAAGAGTTGCACTATTGTATTTATAGAAAAAAGCACTACATACACATGAATTTGGAATTAAGCGTTAAGGGTAACAAAAAGTGGGCCTTGTCAGTTTAAAACATGCTGACGCTTTTTTTTTCACACTGGTTTAGACTTTTGATTTTTGAGGCACAAAAATAATAAGCATTCGTTTTCACAAAGTTCTAATGGCTTTGAGCAACACCAAAGCTTTTCAGAAGCGCCTGTACACAAGCACTCGATCAGTTTTGCGGTCCAGTTCCACGGTCCACGTAGCGTTCCATCTGTGTCCAGTTCAATGTTCATGTCCACCCTGTTTACTGTTTGAAATGAAACGGACTAACCATTACTAACCTGTTTTTAAAGCTGGCAGGTGTTTGAAAGATGAAACCATGGGTGATGTTGAGTTGCCCATATCAAGCACAGCCTACACTCTGATAATACATTCAGAATGATTTGTTTGCTATGAAAAAAAAAGCGTGGGAAAAAATAAAAAGTTTGGTACTCATTTTTTTTGGTTTGTGTTTTGAAATTGTTCCTGTTCTGAAAAGCTGAGGGTCAAAAGTTCCTTAGTCTAATGATTATTTTACTGTTGTGATTGTTTTTGCCCCCGTTTTTTCTCCTGTGACAAACAGCTTTAACCTTGTTTTCTGCAGTTCTTTCCCTCCTGTGGGTTCTGTCCATATCATCACCTTTTTTTTTTTCCAGCCGCTGCACTTCTCATAATCTGATGCGGTGGAGCTGTATCTAATATAGAGGTGTATGTTTTTGTATTGTGTTTGCCATTAGATTACAATTTATGAATTTGCTGTCTTGCATTTTTTGTAATAAATCATTGGTTCAAGCAATGTCTCCATATTAACGTTTATAATCCGTTTATAATTCTCAACATATCGCTGCAGTCGGAACAAAACCTTGTATCTCCATTTTTTTTTAAATGATTTGAAAATGCCTGTTACCCTTTACATTGTGTATAAATTTCATGATGAATGAAAACGGCCCAAAATTACTTGGACAAAAGGTCCGGTTCCATTGACTTACATTAAAAGTAAAGTATGTTTTTTCCTTCCTCTATAAAGTTACCATTCTGGAGATACGAGGTTTTGTTTCAACAAGAGCAAAATTTTTTTTTAATATATACATATGCAAAACTTGGGTGCCTCTGATCAGATTACATTTTGTTGATTTTCTATGTGAAAATTTGAAGTTAACACATCCTCTACAGAGAACACACTTCTACACATTTTAATGCACAATTACTGTTTATTTGCTGTGTTTAATATAGTGGATAAAAAGATGTTATGGCACATTTTATATTTTACATTTTTCCCAATAAGTTACATTCAGTAAATAAAGAGAAATTGTGCAGACAGATGTCATGGTTAAGTGTGTCCTCTGTAGAGGATGTATTTACTTATTTTCACTAAGAAAATCAACAAAATGTGGTTTGACCAGAGGTGTTCAAATTTTTGCATATGCCTGAGTATCTACATGTTCACCCCTTGATTTGAAGGAAGTATGGGACATGATCCAAATCACCTACACAATACAGACATCAGTCGTCATGGTATTGATGTATGTTCACTGTTCATTAACCAGTCTTTATTTACTGAATCAGACCTAAAAGGGTGAATCAGTACCGGGAATCACTATGCCATTGTCTATTCAGAAATAGAGTAATTTGTAAATTCATGTTAGACTGGCTAGCATTTGGCATGCAGTTGCTCTTGTATTTGTAAGGCAGGTCAGTCAAGAAAAACTGCTGCTGCCCACAAAGTTTTCAGGAATAAATATATTGAAAAGTAATAAAATTCCCAAACATTAACAGTTGGCATAAACTTCAGTCTTTGTTCTACTACAACTTGGTTTATCCTCTGGATGTGGTCTGGGTTGCCTGTCTGGGTTCATTGCTAGTATCTGAGATAATTTACATCTGAATTAATGAGCACTAGAAAATCAGAGATTCAATCATTCAGGCACGAGGTTTCTGAAGTGACTACTTATTACCGATTAGTGATAATGGACTGACTAGGTCTCACAGGAGGAACTACAATTTGTCTTTATGTATTTCTGTGGGCTTCCAGAAGATGGCAGCAGAGCTCTACTAACTTTGTGTCAAATGTTGTAAAGTATTAAAATCCACAAGCAAACTATTAAGAATTAAAATGTGTAAAACATTTATTGTGCACTTAAAAAGGGTTCTTCAAGGGTTTTCTTTTCTTTGTAAAGAAAATGGTTCTACACAGAACCGTGAACACTCAAAGAAACATTTGCATGATTTAAAGGTTTTTTGCATCATGAAAGCGTTCTTCAGATTGATGGAGAATGTGCTGTAGATGGTTCTATATGGGACCTTTTTGATAAGGGTTCTATATAGCACCTAAACGGGTTCTTCTATTGTTACGATGTCAAGCTTGTAACAATAGAAGAACTCTGTTTAGTGCTATATAGGATCCTTTTCAATCCATGAAAGGTTCTTTGAGTGTTTGTGGTTCTATGTAGAACCATTTTCTTTACTTAAGAACCCTTGAAGAACCATAATTTTTAAGTGTGCAGATATAACAATGATAATAATAAAAACTGACTCAGACACAGAAGATAGTCTCTCTACTCCTTTTAAGTGACACTTTGCTTTCCTGTTTTCTATTCACAAATTTTGCAAATTCTACAGATTTTTCAGTTCTGGAATCCACTTTGCTTCTACAATGTTTATTTAGCTTTTGACACACCCAAATGAGGGGTGTGTCATAGAGAAAGTTATTCGTTTTAAGTGTCTATTTTATATTTTGAGACCCATGGAAAGGTCAGCAAAACTGGGGAACGCGTCCTAGCAAGTGTAGTAGTGATGGCCATTCTGGCTGTTTTCAGTGAGTCAGATCAATTGGCAGAGCTCACCAGTAAGAGCTGCTCTTCATCCAGTAGCACTGCCAGTTTTTTCTCCATACTTAGCGAAGTTAACGATATTTATTTATAATTTTATTTTCAATAAAATCTTAGTCTATCTATAAAAATTGTTGTATAAATTTAAAACTATCAAGACATCACAGTGGCACTAAAACAAAAAAAACATCTCACCTGCTAAACGTGGCTAATGCTAAACTGAAGATGTTAATAAGTGGATTCACTGTATACATTCTGATCAAAGTTGCACTGCATGTAATTAACTGTGTGCTGAGTGAAGTGAGACTTCGGTGAGTTTTATTAGTAGAACTTCAAAAAAGTAAAAAGAAAAGTATAACAAAAGTCTCCGGCAGGGGTCCAAGGAAAGGCAGACGGGCAAAACGCAAATTCATCCTATCATCAACAAACACAGCCAGAAATGAGACCATAAAACTGAGTAGCAAGCAAGAAAACAGCACCCTGCAACTGATGTCACTGAACTGACAAGCAATAATATGAAATTATTCCCTCCTGTTTTCCAGAAGCGCTCTGCTTACAAGAAGAAAGCTGTCCCTTGGGTATTGGCAGGAGGCCCTTTAAAATTGGTTAGATAGGACACCACTTGGGCAGATGCAGCTAAGTCCAGGATGGCTAACAGGACTGTTAGTTTGAGCTGATTGAGACGGAGCTTCTGGAGAGAATGCAGAGAACACAGGGAAAGTTCTCAGTGCCAGGGACAGCAGAGTTATGAGGGTGGTAGAATTTGCAGGCCTGAAAACAGTACAGACAAGATGGAGAACTCTTGTGAGGTAAATAACAATAATTACCCCCAAAGCCAAGGCACGCGCATGTCAAGAAGGACACAGTGCAAGCAGTGGAACATTTGAGCCACCATCAGTGAAACCACCATCTCTACTGCTACCTGGAAATCAGGTGCATCTGATATCTAGCCTTTGGGAAGGAGCAGGCAGCTCCAGCATTACTAGTGTGGTGAATCACCCTTGTATTGAAGCAAGTTGCCTAAGGATCTTACTAGAGACCACTGTCTCTACTTCTGGACCAATACATGGTCAGCATTTCATAATATATAACTTTTTTTTGCTTATCTGATTACATTAAGAAAGGAGCTGTAGCAGTTAGAGGTTGATGCGAAAGTTTGAACACCCCCAGTCAAATGGGTTTTGTGGGTTTTCTAACAGAAAAAAGTAAAACTCACAAAATTTGTCAGAACTTTTGCACAGGCCACGTAAAATGTGCAGTGTTCTCTGTTTCTACTTAAAAAAAACAACAAAACATGTAATTTGACCAGGAACGCCCAAAGTTTTATATATGGCTGTATGCTATGATTTACATTTCTGCTTTCTTAGAAGCTCTTGTTGACCTGGATAATGAACATGTGGACATGGAAATTTGATGGTACTAGCAAACAGCTATTGAAGGCCCTGGCAAACGGAGACACAGTGCATCTGGACCTCTTGTGTGTCCTGCATTTCCTAGATGAGATACTCCTTGGGGGGCATGCAGGATTTGGAAATTGGGAATGATGAGGCTCATAAACATGTACATTGGAGGGTCTTCCAGTGTCCAGTGTTTGAATGTCAGTAAGAAATAACTTTAGCAGTCGTGTTAGAATGTCTCACTTTACCTCTTAGCTTGACATTAAAGAGGGTGATGATGTGAGGCAAATTAACAAAAAACTGAGAAACTGAATGGAGATGAGAAAAAAGGAAGGAGAGTGAAAGAGACCGAAAGAGAAAGTGGTGAAGGAGGTGAGGCGTAGAAGTGAACAGTTAAGTAGGCCTAGTGTGTTTCAACATATGTGGTTACTGAAGTGAAAACTGGGGGAAGTGGAGATTTTCTGTGACGTTGTTTTTAGATATAAACACAATGTGAATCTGCAGCTGTGAAGAGC